GAGAGAAAAGTACTGCGAAAGATTTATGGTCCTTTGCGCGTTGGCCACGGCGAATATCGCATTCGATGGAACGATGAGCTGTACGAGATATACTACGACATTGACATAGTTCAGCGAATTAAAAGACAGCGGCTACTCTGGCTAGGTCATGTCCGAATGGACGAAAACACTCCAACTCTGAGAATATCCGACGCAGTACCCGCCAGGGAAAGCAGAGGAGAGGAAGACCTCAACTCCGTTGGAAGGACCAAGTGGAGAAGGACCTGGCTTCACTTGGAACAGACTGGCGCGCTGTTGTTAACTCGGCTATAATCGCGTAAGCGGTGACTACGCCAATCAAGAAGGAGAGTGCGGCCAACAGTCAAGTTTACTCCTCAATTTATTTTAATTAACGTGCAATTCAGGCTGTGCAAATTCGTAGACAGATTCGCCGGAGGTCCTTAACTTTGCTGACATTAGGTGGTACATCAATTTACTCCAAATTATCTGGATTAGTGTTTTAAAACCATAATTTATCACAAAATCGCCTTCTTCGACTTTTGTATGCGAAACAGACAAAGAAAAGTTTGAAAATTAGATAAATTGGCTATTGAAAAAGAAAAGATGCAGGGAAACCAAGAAAGGATATAACGCTGAAACACGGATAATACAGCAAAAGGTAAAAAAACTATAAAAGTAGGTCATCGCCCTCCGTCAATTATAATATCAGAAAACAGGAATAAAGGGGTGCCCAACTTATTCCAGTGTGAGAGCGCCTCAAAATAAGCGTCTTTTTTATAACATTTTCCATTATGGGCAGATTGAACAAAATAAGAATTTTTGGGCACTTTGAATTAAAACACCCAACATTTATTACGATTGCAAATTATTGTATATTGGATTTGTAATATATGGCGAAACAACTTAAATCCTTTTTATGATTTTATGGTATATTAACACAACTGACTTTCGATCTTTCAATACTTGATAAGGTGCATTAAGCCTGTTAGTTCTCAATAAATGTTTTTAATATTTTTCCATTGAAAATAATACTATGATGCTTCATTATATTACATTACAAAACGTTTCATCAAATACATTTAAATTTCATAAATTTATTTAATTTTCATTGTTTTACATTTCTTGTAAGTGGTATTGAACAATGCAACAAATCCCACCATTTACATATATTTTTGGTATAATTTCAATCTGGCCGTTCCAGTCATTCCAATTGCAAAACGTCAATACCTACTCAATCCAGTCAACTGTCAAAGTTCGGTAGGTTTTGACGTTTAACAATTGCTTTCTCACTTCCAGTGAGAGAGGAGTTGGGACATGGATAATATGATACGAAACTCTTTGATTCGAGAGAGAGCTGTCAAAACTCGCATTTTTTATAACATTTGTCATTGATGTCACTGCTGAAAAATATTAGATTGGGTGTTTAATAAATTATACAAAACACTAAATTAAACACTTTGAAAATGCATACATATATAAATGCTAAAACGCAAAATCATTAATTAATTTACATAAACATTTATTTTGCCAAAATATGTTCGCACAGTTCAATGAAATTTCATTTCACGCTAATTTTGTCAGGTAATTATAGCGGTTGACTTCTGGCATCCCGCCTTTTCTGAAATCAATTGTCAGAAACTCCCTGATCTTCATCGCTGTCAAATAATCAGGGAACGCGTTTGAGAGAAAAAGAGAGCCAATGCTAAAGTTTCGTATCATATTATCCATGGTTGGGGATCTCATTATCTTTGCAAGCATCTGTGAACCAGATTTACAGCTGAACGCGAGAAGGGTTAGGGAATGCTATTCATAGGGGAAAAATTAACACCTGCATTGATTCCCTCTTAGTATATTCTTAGGATTTCTTGGTGCTTAAACACCATCCAGGTTCGTCAATGATATACTTGTACAAAACATATATACTCCTGACAAGAAAAAACCCCCCTCTATTCATGTACAAGTAGATACTCTGTTACAACAACAAAAATCTCTAAATTTAAGTAAAATATTTTTTACAGATATTTACTGTAGATGCGAGAAATCACGGCGATAGTCCCCATACATCTGAGCATAGTTCTGCTCATATGGCAGTTGATATTTCAGAATTAATGAAGAGTAAAGGAATTACAAAAACATGTGCAATGGGCCATAGCATGGGAGGCAGAACGATGATGCATTTAGCTCTTAAGCAAGTTAGTATCCCATACTATATTCGTTAATAGAATTTCGTCCGTTTATGCAACAATTCAATTTATTTATATTTTTTATTTCCAAGCCGGAACTTGTGGACCGGGCAATTATTATTGACATATCTCCCATTGCAGTGCCGCGAGACTTTCATCAAATGGATGAAATATTTAAAGCTATGGAAAATGTTGATATTCCTGCGAAATATTCATTAGGACAAGGGCGCAAAATAGCTGAAGAACAAATTAAAAAAGCAGTGGGAGTCCAAGCAACTGTTGAGTTTATATTGATGAATTTGAGAAAACGGAATACTGGAGAGTATGTATAACAGAAAATCAAATATCTAGGTCTATTTGCAAACTTGAATTTCAAATCAATGCTTCTTTCAGAAAATGCATCATCCTTCGTAATTTTCATATTTTAATGAAGTTGTAATTTTTTCTCATGAAGTTAATGTTGCTTGTTCAATATAGGGTCATATCATTTTTAATTGGAATCGAAGGATAAACCAATTTAGAACAGATTGACTGATGAAGAAATTATTTCTAGTACTTAAAGTTTCTTTCAACTGGCATTCCGTTCACACATCCAATTTTATTTACGGTCGGTATATTCGTTTTATTATTGTACAAACGGATAAGTAGTAATGATGAACGATATTACACCACCGGTGATTATTTTTTTTTCTGAGAAATCGTATATCGCTACTACGGTCACGTTTGTAAATAGCAGTTCACTCCATTGCGATAGTAGTTTTTTCCTGTAAATTATGATACCAATTCGATTCTGTCAATTGTGATTCCAATAGCAGTCCACAAAAAACTTGTACAGTTTAAAAACGTTACTTGTGATCGCAATACCAGTATAGCATAAAAGTAGCAGGTATGGTAAATACGTATATGTATAGACTATTTTTCGTCTCGACAGTGTAACTTTCTAATGATTTTTATAC